CCCTGATAAAGTAAAATGCATCTTTAAAAATTCAATTTTTAATTTTATCATGATGGTATAAAAACACTATGTGCAGTACTAATTATGGATATGCTTCTAGGTGTATTTGCCATCTCTTGTCATTGCCCTAAAATATAGGGACGTACTCGCAGTGGTCAATTACATGTATATGCTGTATTACATGTATATACTGTGTATATGGCTGCGTGTCTTACCTACTTAGCCAAAATATCTAGGGAAAAAACTGTGTAGGTGAACCCTTGAGCATCATACTCAGATGTAGGACTAAGCATCACACCTGATGGCGAAGGAAAAAGCAGTTCTTTGGCAGTCAAGGCCTTTTGATACCGTTTGCTGGCTCCTGGTAAAAGTGGAGAGTGCAGTGTAAGAAAGCTCACCTGTCCTAGTTGTCTTTCTCCTAAGTTTCCCACAGTATGATGCTTTTCCTCAGGCTTTAGACTTCTAGTCTCCTTGGATTAAACTAAATCTTACCTTTTAATGAAAAGCATCCATGGTTGTGGAAAAAACTTAAAAATGTAAAACCTCAAAATCCATAAGCCAACAGTGGAATAAGGAAGAATTAACAGGTGTTTTCAGGCAAGGAAAGGTAGGGGACATTACATCATTAAAAATTTACTCTCTCTCTCTATATATATATATTTCTGTCACAGATGAGAGTTTTTTTCCCATCTAACATTCCCAAAGAGAGGATACAGTGTCTGACTGGGATTCTGAATGTCCTTTATAGTGAGAAAGGATCTCTGATATCTCTTATTTCTGGAGTTGGAAATAAAGTTTCAGCATAGAATGTTCCTCTACAGATGTTATTTTATTATTGTAATTTCATCACAGGAGGGAATATGGTGATTCTTAATATTTCACATGTTCACTGAAAGATTTTCTCAAAGGAAAAGAAAGATCGTTTTCTATCTTTCTATCTCCCACAAGATTAATATATATATATTTGTTAATAGCTGGAGGCAACAGAGCTTTACAGAAGAAAAAGCACTGTATTTTGACAGATGAATTTTCTCACTCATTTTCCTATTTTGTCCTCTGTGCTACTGGACAGGGAGGAAGAGGAGAGGGAGCCACCTCCCTCAAGAGAGGGAGCTGTGGGTGCATTGCCTGCTAGCAAGGGCCAATGCACCACAGCATTGGACCCAGATAGGGACGTAAGACCAACTATAAACATAAAACATCAGATAGAACAGGCAGCCAATAATTGGCAAGTCCAGAAAAATAAAAGTACTGAATTAAAATTCTTGTGGAGGATTTTGGAAGGGTTGAAATTTGGTTGGGTTTACGTGTTTCAGGAGACTGGATAAATTGGTATTTGGATACCTAGGAAGCACAGATGGTTTAGGATCTAGTTAGGATCTACAGTACTGAATAAAATAGGTCCAGAGACTGTTCCTTTGTCCTAAATCCAGCTAGCTCAGACTTACTCATATATATGCTGCCTAAGACTAGCTCCCACTGGGCTGGGAGGAGCCTACTGGAGGCAATAGCATGTCCTTAATGCATAGCACTTAAACTCCAAGTGTCCTGAGAGCCCTAGAGGATACTTCTGTGACCTTAAAACCTAATTATTAGTTTGGGGAATATTTCAGTTTGGTGTGTCCAAAGCAATATGAGAGATGTGTTGTAGCCCATCAAAAGTTGTGCTTTAGTAGCATGAAACTGAAGGGCTGACGAATGACACAGAGGTACATGGGATGTGTTTGAGATGCAGAGATTGATGGGACAGGCTTGGAGGGACGTTTAGGGTGGAAGAAGCTAAACTTGGTCCAGTAATACTCATACGGACTTTCTGGGAGTGTGTCTGGCATGAACCATCCTCAAATGTGGGCATTGTCCTGGAGGGAATTTGTTTGGATTGTCCACAACAGAGCTGAGAAATAAACGAGCATTGAAGTGATGTGACTGAGCTTCTAGTGCTTGGCTTCATTTTTATATCCCTCTTTTGTGAGCAATACAGATGTAAACTATTTAAATTCTACAGTTACTGTTTGCAGACAAAACTTTCTAAATTTCAACAAGAAACAGATATTGGATCTGAATTTTACGTAACTATGGGATTGAAGATACAACAGCAGTGGCCAAATTAATTATAATCAATTTTTGTAATTAAATTTGGGTTATTAAGATATCAATCTGCATAGGTTAAGACGAAACCAGATGTTGAAGCTGGATTTTTACCAAATAGGGTGCCAGTAGGCACAGCTGTTATCTCACAAATCTTTGCAGTTCTTAGACATGACTTTGCTATCATTCTATGCTGCTTCTGGTCTCTCTGCACCTGGACCAAGCTTGATACTTACTTTCATTTGCCAGCACCTCGTGCATAAAATATATATATATTTGTGAAGAGAGATGGGAACCTGAGTTACGAGATGTTCCCCAGGACCTGCCTTTAGCTATGCCTGGCAGCTCACATGAAGAAGGACAGCAATCTTCCAGCCTTCTGGCCTACTCAAACACCTTCTTGGACAGTTTAGGAGATGACTCAGATTGTCAGGTGTCATGCATTTGATTTCTGGTAAGAGCCCAATCACAATCCAGGACCAAATGTCTGTTTCCCACACAGAAACCAGAGGTAAAGAATAAATCCACACGTCTAGTCTAAGGCTGTAATACCCTTTGATCTCTTAGCAATTCTAGAAGACCTGGCAGAGGAGACATTCTCACCCAAACCAGCCTGGAACATCCTTAAACAAGAAAGCTGCCTATGTAGGCTATGTGGGCTGCTAGCTTTCCTGGGAGGATGCTGTGGAAAATTGTGTCAAGTGCTTTACTGAAGTCAAGGTAGACCACATCCACAGCCTTCCCCTCGTCCACTGGGTGAGTTACCCAGTCATAGAAGGAGATCAGATTGGTCAGACAGGACCTTCCTTTCCTAAACCCATGCTGGCTGGGCCTGATCCCCTGTTTGTCTTCTACATGCTGCTTGATATTACTCAGGATGATCCGCTCCACAACCTTGCCAGGCACCGAGGTCAGGCTGACAGGCCTGTAGTTCCTCGGATCCTCCTTCTGGCACTTCTCATGGATCAGTGCCACGTTGGCCAACCTCCAGTCACCTGGGACCTCCCCAGTTAGCCAGGATTGATGATAAATGATAGAGAGGTGGGAGTCGGGCTCTTCTCCCGGGCAACTAGTGACAGGACAAGAAGGCATGGCCTGAACTGTGTCAGGGAATGTTTAAGCTGGATCTCAGGAAGCACTTCCTCATGGAGAGGGTGCTCAGGCACTGAGATGCACTGCCCAGGGAAGTGGTGGAGTCATGGTCCCTGGAGGTGTTTAAGGAGAGGCTGGATGTGGCACTTAGGGCTGTGGTCTAGCTGATGTGATGGTGTTGGGTCGTCGGCTGGACTTGATCCCAGAGGTCTTTCCTAGCCTCAACAATTGTGTGTGTGTGTGCGTGTAGCTGCGACCCAGCGATGCCATATAAATTAGATACCCACAACATACGGCTTTTAACAACATGAGGCAGAGAAGGCTGTTACAGTCTATGTTTGTCTTCTGCTCTGGCCTCCAGGGCAGTTTCCAAACACAGACAGGGGCTATGTCAGCAAGCAATCTGGTTAATGTTGCAGGCAGCTAAAAGAGAGTGGGATTAGAGAGATCAGGTCTTGGCAGATGGTAGGTAGAGTGCTTTGGGGTGACTTCTGCTATCTGTATCCAAGAAGTGACCCTAGTGGACTCTTACACAGTGTTTCTGTGTGTTCACAGACCAGTCTAGACCCATCATGGCCCAGAAGTGAGACCACTGGTGTGGTGCAAGAGATGATGCACCAGTTTATCCTCTTGCAACACACTGCCGTTGCACTCCAGAGTCTCTGCAGAATGGTATTTTACAAATGAAGATCATCCCTGCTGCAGAGCAGTTAGGAGCGATGTTTGGAGGGAGAGAGACCATTGATGCTGTCTTCATCAGGCAGCCCTAAGAGATACGTCCTGCTGGATGTGGCAGCTTTGGGAGGTGTCCTCTCATGACAGGGTCCTATAGAGCACCCCAGGAAGCGTCATGAACACCAGGCAGCTTGTGCCTTTCCAAGTGGCATTTTATTTTGCTACTTTCCCAGCATGCATGGGGTGTGCTGTAAGACCTAGACAGTCTGAATAGTCAGGAAACCTGGCCACAAGAGCATCCCTTCGCCAGTGTGTTTTTAGTGCAGCCTGAGTAGCTGAGACAAAACCTGACAGATTCTGCGTGTGTAGAGCTGGATTTCTCTAGCTCTACTGAACAAAGCTTAAGTAGCATTACTATTTCTTCTTTTCTTGAGTTAGGACCTGCTGAATTTTATTAGTGATATTAGGGAGATTGGTGATTTTCCCCTGCCCTGCAGATCCCGTAGTTACAGTACCACTGGTAAGATGTGTCCACTGAAGGGATCTGCATTTTCTCTTTAAGAGGATCGTGTATTTGTCCTCTATTCATGAGGCAGAAAGAGGAAAGGCAAAGTAAAATAGTTCTCTGAGCAGAGCTGAAAGGCAAAATTGGAGTTGCACAGGACCATTGCCTTAGGATTTATCTGAGGATTAGTTTTTAGTTTCACTTTCATCTTTCTTTGTACACTCCCACAAAATAGAAACCTGCAAACCTTCTAGTTATTCCTTTTTATCATAGGTGAATTCGAAGTGCTGGGGTAAAATTATGTCCGAAATATGACTTGCAGGTAGACCTCACCATTCTTTTCCTGAAGCAGTCTATTTCAACGCTGGACAAACAATTGTGGACTGTTTTATTAGTATAGATCAGCTTTGCTGTCACCTCACGACTCCAGCCTACGTGAGTGCTGTGGTTGAACTGAGCTTCAGCTGGATGATGACTCAGAAACCAGGGCGCCTATTTGCATATTTTACGGCTGAAAGTCCAGTCAGGGGTGAGTCTTACAAGGAATTGAAACCAACTTGTAAGAACTCAAAGATTTCGAGTCTTTCTCTAGCCTTAGTGGCAATACTCTTTTCTGACAAGGCAAGGTACTCCTAAAACAATGTCTGGGGCTAGCGGATGGAGAGAAGGCAGCAGGTACAGGGTGGCTGCTTCTTCCAGTACCCCATTTTCTTCTCAGAGTCACCTCTGGGATGGCAACAATAAAAGACAGGAGGCTGAAAACTCTCAGAAGCTGACGTCTGAAAAGGGGCAAAGCAGACAAGTGTCAGCCTGCCAAGGACAGCAGGAGAAGTAGTAAGTAACAAGGAGCTTGACTGAGATGGTGTAACATGTATTGGGTGCCTGTTCTCCACCCTACTTGAGGTGTGCACCTTCAGAGGTGGAAATACTTTACAGAAAGACTGAGAATGGGACTGGGCACACAAGGAGCAAATCCTCATGCTCTCAGAGCCGCAGCGGTCAGCCTGAAGCCTGCCTGTGAACGATGCTTTCTTCATGGGTCATGAGTTGTTCTGGCAGGCTTCATGGTGTCATGGCTTACATCTCATGTGATAGCTGGTTCGGTACTTTTGATATTGGTGTATGTGGTGTCTGTACCTTTTCTCATAGCAAAATTTCATATCCAGTTGTAGGTCCTTGTTTTCTGTCTCCTAATATTTCATCCTGGAAAGTCTAAAAATACTTCCTTTGGCTTAAGAGATGGATGCAGGCTGTGTTCCAGCTGTGTTCCATTCCTGATCTGAATGCAGTACAGGACACAGAACAATTTCCAACAAATTCATGCTGACAAAAGTAAAGCCAAAGCTTTAGCCCACGATTTAATTTTAGGCTTTACTGGGATCTGTGTTCAGTCAATCTCTGTTTTTCCAGTGACAATTCTTTGATAGCTTGCATAAGCTATAGCTTGCAGATATAATACAGAATAGAGACTGACAGTGATGTCTGTGTATTTTTTGCATGTGTTTAATGCATATATACTTAGCTGACCAAAGCTAATTGTTTGCAGTCTTTTTCCTCAAATGTGCTTTTTCTGAGCTGTTAGTAACAGTGCATGCAATGCTGTTAAGTGCTGAGTTTGCTTAGCTTGCTTTTTTTCCCCCCTCTCCCTGCCTTTCAAAGTGCAGCTGACGGAAACCAAAGGCTGTTTAAGTTTCCTTTCCCTTCTTTCTGGATGAACGTGGAGCCACACTGCGAAAGAGGTGGGAGGCTGCTGATCACAAGCAGCAGCTTTCCATTGTAACCCATGCATGCTTGCCTACTACGTAGTAATGATACAGGGGTTATTAAGAGCTGGGTAGCTTTGAAATCCAGCAGTGCTTTAATGACTGACTTTCAGGAGAGCAAATATCCATTCCTGAGTTACAGTCTGTGTTTATTTTCTGCCCCTTCCAAACATGAAAGACCCTCCGTCTTGCCTGCCCTCCCACTGACATATATCCACAGTATGCGAGCTTGAGAGCAGCTTGAGTTTGCTTACATATTTGTGCTATGTGCATTTTTGTGCTTTTTTTCTTTTCTTTTTTGGGAGGGGGATGGGTACTGCATGGATAGTGGGAGTTTTCTTGTTGGTATAACTGTGTCGCTGCCTCAATTTGGTCTGAGACACAAGGTGCCTGGTATAGGTTAAGTAAATACTTAAATAATTGGCTGGCCTGAGCTCACTGCAGAATTTAAAGCTAGAGCAAATATATTCACACAGATTTTGGCAGGGTGATAGAAATTCCCCTAAAACTAAGTAAGCGTTAGAGGAAGAATAATCTAAAGCCCTGTTCCCTCTTTCATCTCTGAATGATGCTTGCAGAGATGCTTGCATCTCCTGCACGAACTGCTTAATATTTTTTCCTATGTGATATGATTCTCTCTGTGTCTTGATAAAGCTGTAACAAAGAATTCATTCCTAAACCTGGAGTGTGCGAATTAAAGTCTGCATTATTATGCAGTTAATGAGAAGGAGGGATGAGGGAAAGGCAGATTCTAACAGAATCGTATCATTGAATATTTTGGGATGGAAGAGACCTTTAAAGGTCGTCTAGTCCAACTCCCCTGCAGTGAGCAGGGACATTTTAAAGTAGATTGGGCCACAGATGCTAGCAGTCAGTTTGAAGGAGATGTAGCCACTTGAACTGCAATTGCCTTAACTAATCCAGATTAAAGTGGTAGAAGGTCTCTAAAATGCTGAAGCAGACAAGAGGAGATCTTTATTCTTAAAAAGTAACTGTTACGTTCATTGTTATTATATCTTTGTTCTGTTACTTCAAGTTACGTTTCAAGAAACATCTCAGATAAAAATATCTTTTCAGCAATGATAAAGCTGACTCGGTCCTTTAGCCATCAATCCTTTTGAACAGGATCCTTAAAACTAAAACCCTAGGGCACCCTCAGAGTAGCCTGAGTTTTTGGGCTCTTGGGATAACCAAGAGCAGAGGAGTTTGAGAGCTGAAGTCATAGGGTACCAATAAAAGAAAAAAATGCACAGATGAACATTAACCTAGAAGACTCTCTGGAATATTCATAACAGAGGGAACATGAGGGGCCCAAGCAGGATACCTCTGTGCCAAGGAGTGGCTCTATTCCAGTTCGTGTGCTGCTTGCTGGTTTTTTTGGAAACAGCCGGAATACGTTTTTGCTGCCAGCAAAGCAGGAGTTGGAGTCTCTTGTGAAACCTCAATGTAAGATGTTTCCATGCAAACTCTCAGTCTCCAGCTGTGCTTCAGAGCAATTGGAGGTGGGAAGACACCTGAGTGGCATCTGGGGGTGGCATGAGGTGACCTTTCATGTAGACTGGACCCATGAAGTATGAGTGGGATGTGGCATGTTGTAGTCTCATCCACTAGTTGATATGTGAAATTTATCTATTAAATAGTAGAAGGTGGGCAACTGCTATTAGAGGATGATTTTTTTCTTGCTTTGGAAAAGCCCTTACATGATACATCGAGGCTGAGAAGTGGTAATAAAATGGTCCTAATTAAGTTAAGAAAAATACTTACTCAAATGCAGAACTGAAATCATGCTTTGCACAACCCCCTCTGGTTATATATAGTATGTGGTTTCAGGCCACAGAGGAAAAATCACCAGGATGACAAGTTCTTGAAACTGCTTATAATAATAAGCTGCATTTAAGTTACTTTACTTTGTCTGCTAAGTGCCATGAAATTAACTTGTAGAAAGTGAATTCCAAATTGCCCTTGTTCATGTCTATTCACAGAATCACAGAATGTTAGGGGTTGGAAGGAACAAAAGTCTATACAGAAGAGAAGGTGGAGGAAAATGGGGAAATTGGAGGCTGAACGATAACTAGTGCCCCAAAAAAATTGTTGCCCCCATTCAGCAGTCTATCCTTGCCACCTTTAAATAAGAATAATATTTGTTATTCTTTGGCAAGAATAATATTTGTTAATGGTAAAATCCATTTAAAAAATTAAATTCAAAATAATAAAATCTGAAGATACATTGTTGCATAGCTGGTAACAGTCCCTCATAATTTTCTGTGAAATGAGAGCAGAGTTATTAGAGTGCTTGACTCACAAAATTATATTCTGTGTCTGCTGAGGCCAAATCCATCAGGGCCTTCTTTCCTTCCTTTTGCAATCTTCATCCTGAATTAAAAATAATTAAAATATCTATGGTGTTATAAGATCTAATAGAGTATACTTAACAGTTCTGAACATTTTATTTTCTTTGACAATCTGAAATTTATTTTTAAAATCACAAAATTAATCTAATGCTTGTTTTGCCCAGTGCCATGCTAAAGGGGTAGTTTGAAATATGAGCAGTCTGGTTAGAGTTGAGCTCTGTGTTTGCTGCACAGGAGAAATCTCCCAACTCGCCATCTTTCAGGCTGATGTAGTGATCTTTACAGCCCAGTGGGGCAATTTAGAGATGCTCATTTTCGCTGTGATCAGTGGCCAGCCTTGTCTCCGGCCAAGTGTTTGGTGGCAGGGTCTATGTGAGAGGATAACTGCAGTAGGCTTTCCGTCAGTCCAGATTGCTGAAGTTGCTGTGTTCCTCATAATGCTTGGACCAGGGGGAAGGAAGTTGTTCTAACTCCTGTATTAGAAGGCTTTTCTCAGAAGAGCTTGTTTTGCACAAGCCCTGACATGTTCCCTTGAGTCACAGTGTGATGAGGAGCTGTGGTGAGACGATGAACAAGGGACATATGGGAAGATACTGTGTTTGGACAGAGGCAATGAAAGAACAATAAATACTGTGGTTCAGAGGTGGAGAAAGGAGACAACGTATTGTGGAGATGAAAGTGGGGGAACCAGAGATGAACAAGCCACTAGTTTAAGTCTTAACCTTCTTGTGATACTGCACCTGATCTGCTCAGCTCTCCAGGTGTGCTGGCAAGCCTGACTTGCAACACACAGACACCTCTGCGGGGAGTAGCTGGGCTCAGGGCATGTGTTGCCAAGGCTGGTGCCTGGCTTGCCCAGGTCTGGATGCTCTGTGCTCCTCATGGCTAGTGATTGCCAGGCGCTCCAGCTGGCTCTGGAGTGTCTGCTGCATCCCTGGCACTGTTCTGTGCTGAATTAACTGAGCTGCTTTGAGATCTGGAGGAAGCATAAACGTAGCCATATCTGACTTTACAGAATTTCCTGGGTCTGATGTTAGTCTACCACACTGCCTCAGTGAGCTCTCGCCCATTGGTGTAGCCTGCCCATAAATGTATAGTAACTAATGGCATGTTAGCTTTTGCAGGGAAAAAAAGCTGTGCTGTGAGGTGAGTTTGGGCTCAGAGTTACCCCTTGGCTCCATCATTTGATCCATCACTGTGACAGTTTCCATGGAGCTTTAGAAGATTGTTGAAATTGTCCAAAATGGGATGCTGGCTGAAGAACCTGCTGTTCTTTCTTATGTGCTGTTGCATGCTGAGCTCAAATCAAGCTGCTGAATATGAATCCCACCTTAGCTCTTGGAAATTTAGTTCCGAGTTGCAGTTTTACTCTCTGGACAAAATTTTAGCTTCAGGAATATCTCTGCAAGCTTACGGTACTTGACAGTTGAGGTTTGGGTGCCAACAGCAGGATGACAGGTCTGCTGCTTTCCTGTTTGTTTCTAACACCTACCTTC